ATTGAAACAGGGTAATCAGACCAGAATGTTCGAGCATGAGTGCCTGTCTCACTTCCACCACCTGGACCACGTTAACGAAGAGAAATGTTTGATACAGTGGTGATTATGTGTAACTGTCACGCGACCAAAGAAGGTGGGGTGCTATTCTATATCGCTTGGTTCCATTGACAAGGAAAATCAACCTGTACTGACGTTAATCGTTCCACATGTGGCTGCTATTACATTTAACTGTCTTTCAAAACGAGTTAAATACACTAAACAACCGGATGGGGCCATGATAACGTTGAGTTCACTTAAGAGTGTACTAATTAGGTGCAATTTTTGTATCTGTTCGGACGAAAATGTAAGACCATTGAAGAATTAAACTAACAAGCAAAATTCTGTGTTGAAACTGTTGATTGATTTCAAGGTCCATACAAAAAGCCTTTCCATTCAACAGAAATCGTCCTGCTGGTGTTTCGCCACCTCACCATTCCAAGCGCACTGCATACTTGTCCATTTTTATTTTCACTCTGGACTGATGAATGAATATCATGTTGATCTATCCCAATAATTACAGTTTATGTACATTTTTCCATGGGACACCTGAATGGTTTTGAGATATAATTACAGACGGGCAAATATTTGATTCGCTAGACATTCGGAAAAAAAACAGATACGGATCAAATGATAGCCACATGTATAAACAGCTAGAAATGCATGCAGGTGAACAAGCGGTGATTGGTCGTGATCCAGCTAGACTACCTACAGATATCAAAGCATGAGGCAGCAGCAGGTACTGGGGAGTGCACAATAATAAAAATAAAACAGCTTCAGGACCCATTTTCGAAATTACCATTCCATTTTGTCACCGACAGAATTATTTTAATAATCTCAGTCTCAATACATTAACACGGCGCCCTAGTTTATTTCAAACTTTGAGAAGTTTCTTATTTATTTACAGAGGTGTTTATTTAGAAAGATAATGGCAACCCAGATAATTGATCAACCATAGCTTTTAAATTAAAAAAGCTAGTGTACCGCCTGACGGAAATATGAATTAGAAAAATAATTGGACCGCATCATACGGGATGAAGATCCTTTCGAATTTGTATCTGTCCCAAATAAAATCGAAATAGAGAAGCGATTGAAGTTTGCATGTGCCCGTTAAATTGCTTCCCTAAGAATTTCGGTAAATGATCACAAACTTTTATCGGAAAACAGAGAAAGTTAAACACATCTTCAGTAGCGGGTCAAAGTACTTATGTCTATATCAATGTGATGAATCAACAAAATTATGGGAATAGATGTAATACTTCAGCTGAAACAAAATAGCGAACGAATAACAAAACAATAACAACAAAATGCATCAACGATGTGACATATATGGTTGGATAAAAAAGACATCATGGGTCAGGTTGGTTGAGAGGAATAAATGACTTTTAGTATATTGACAACAAGATCGTATTTTACCGTGGGGTACAGAACCAGTTAATCTACAGTTTACCAAAAAATATTTTGTTCCCAAATCTACACTTATGAGTCATGATGTGTAGACTTAGTCAAGTTTACATGCTGAATAGTAACTCTTCTAAAAGCAATAGGTTTTGTATTTGGGCTTTGTTATTGGTGGCAGAAAACTGAACTATATTACGTACAACGTGACGATAGAAATGATAGGCTTTTTCGTACCCCAACTACATTTTTGTCTGTTTTTGATAAACGCATTAGCGCGTTTTATACAACTGAGATACAAAAGTATCATCAGCAATACTTCCAGCGATACACTAAAATGGGGCACGTTCTACTCATGAAGTAAGTTTGAGGCTATCGTCTTGTATTCGACATATCCTATGTAATTTTACATGATCATATTTAGGGGTTTGCTAGAACTGCATTCTTCGCAGAACGAACGGAATGATTGACAGGTAGAGTTGGAGCATGATCGCTGGGGTCACCTGATCAGTTGCATCTTTGTTCCGGTACCTCACCCCAAAACGTTTCGTTTGAGTCACTTACAAAACCCGTGATTGATGTTTTTGATAGTTTTAGTAAAATAGAGTCCAGTGATCAACCGTCATACTTGTAGCTGAAACCTGACCCCGAACTACACCGGATACTGATGTACTTGTCAGCTAAGTCAGGATAATCCACAACTGCACATCGTTAAAATCAACTGACAACCATGATTATGCGTATACAAAATAAGAACTGGCCTGCCTAAGCATGAATGTCAGATTTCAGCCAATGCTTTGGAGAGATAAATGCACATAGTGAGACATTTCACACTCATTCTAACGAATCAGGTGCGTAATAGTATATACTTTAATCTAAGCGATATATCTACCGATAAACATACAGCATGTACCTCAAAAGAAGTAGGTTAAACTGTTATGCCGTTGAATTGTGACATCATAATCTTAGTGTGCATCAAAAGATCGTTCGGATATTTCATTTTGTAAAAGTAAGTTTTCTCGTAGTGTAGACATGAAGTTTTATTGAGATTAGTTTGAATGCATCAGAAATCCTTATTTTTGAAAGTTGATTATTTCTTAATGGAAGCCAGATTTGAGAGAGTAACAAACTTTAAATGACTGATTTACGATAGGCTTTGCGTCGTATCCTTTTTCATTTTACGCATCGTAAAATTGCTATACAGGAAAACCAGATCTTCGTTAGCGATAAGCTTGAGAATACACGTTTTTTACATACATGCATCAGTGTACACCAATAATATGTTATTTTAAATATTAATTAAGACTGACGAATGAAATTCCGTGAGGTCCAACACCAGTTATTAATAGTAGTATAAACGTGAGAAAGGATGAATTATTCATATCAAAAATGTCATTACTAAAAGCAGTATAATTCATACTGAGTGGGGTATAAGAACAACGATGAATCGAAAATATGGTCATGTGTAGTACAACCAATTCAATAACCCGATATAGGTAAATTATTTGTTTTATTGTTTCTTATGGGCAAAGTTGACGTGAAGTAGCGTTCGGTGGTTTGTATTTACTGCTACGCCTTCTCGCATACAAGATTCATCTAAGAAGGGTAACTCAGAAGGGATTGGACAATGTATACTTCTACAGGCAAAGCATTTGTATCTTTCCTTGTGAGAATGAAGAACCACTGAGTATAACAAATATATCTTTCGTTTACTCGTTTGTTCAATGTTATTCATAATCCAGAAGAAATGATAAAACTGATCTGCAATATGGTAAAACTGGACAGCGTTTGAGGTTCAGACTTTTGTGAATAAATTTAGAATAATTCACAGTGTATTGAGAATGAAATTAAATTAAAAACGTTTTCACCAGGGTACAATAATATTATTTATTGATCTAGACGATTACCTTACATTAAAAGCATGGTTATAATTGGAACCTATGTTGATCTGTCACAAGTAAAACAACAAGCAACTTTGAAAAGAATCCTTATCTCTATCGCTATCACTGTGATGAAGAATGTCAACAGCTCATATTGAGGAGTGAGGGAAAATCGAAATCAGGGTCATACTTGTCAAGAGTTTCTGGATGTTACTAGTTTATAAATGTTATCATACACAATCAGGCAGTTTACTGAACGCCAACGTTCCCTCTTTGTGCTTGACTAGTTCCATAGATGGTACAAGTCATTTCCAGTAGTCTGGTTGTCACAATCTAACTTCACTGCTCTTAACCAACAACTTGCAATTTGATGGTTTGAGAAAAACAAGAGACAGCATTCGCATCAGCAGGAAACAAGAACTATGGTAAGCAGGACCAGGGAACTGATTTGCGTGAGATATGGGACTGAAAAACTAAATTTTCATACATCAGATTATTTGCATGACCTCTCACTCATTCAACCGTAACACATGGTAAAATGTCAACCTTGATTAACCTTTTTGAGAAATTTGATGGATCCAAAACGTTTCCTGGTTAAAAAGGTAAATTATTTGTGAGTTAACTATGGAATGGAACGATGCAATAAATACGCATTACTTCTGGGACTAAGCGTCGATTGTAAGATTGAAAGTTCTCACTTGGTCTTAGACCACGCTAGTATTTTGGACCAATAAAAAGTCGGGTTTTCCCTTACTTTGTTTGAATTGAATGCTTGAAACGTCTAAAACGCAAGCACACGTACTTTTCTAATTTCGGACCCTCGTCGGAGCTATATGTCTAGGTCTCAGTGTTAAACGATCGATTCCGAGATTTGGCATTATTAAACTCGTCCATTTTTGGGATTGCTCAACTACCCTCAACCTCTTGAAATAATCGTCAGCGGCATTATCCTCTTTCGGATTAATTGCATCCATTGCTTGATGTTCATAACTACTAAAAAACAAACTAAACTAAAGTCTACTCTAGTACTGACCAAAAACTAGAAAGCTACCGTTATGTTCAGCCGCTCTTTTAAAAATAAAAACCGATAATGTATACATGCAATATGTTTTGGAGTCGATTCAACATAACGTCTTGATTCCCAGATCCGAATAAAGCCCTTGTGTTTGAGTACTAGCACAGGTTCTGGTTTATATACTTTTCCTATATTTACACACCAAGTTAGTTTTGTATTTTTGAACTAAAGTAACGTGCAATATCTAGGTCTACCTTGATTCACGATTATAAATGAGTTTTCCTGTTTGAACAATCTATAGTTTCAGGTTTTCTTACAATTCGAAACAAATTTCAATGCGAACTTCTAGATTCGAAAAACGTAATGGCGTTCTTACACAAAACGTGATGTGCATGATGTTCTGTTTGATTCTGTACAGGCTATATACGATGGCTCAGTTTCAGACATTCAGATGGAGAAATATAGTGAACGGTAATTCAAAATTACAAAATAGTTGCGCATGGAGGCGGTTATGGTTTTTGTTTGTGTGTGTGCAATGTGTGCAAATACTTCGGGAGTATAGTATGGATTGGACATCAAACGGGAACTACTATAAGAGCGTGTGGTTTCAGTTAATGTCATGATCAGTTTCATTGATTGTAAATGAATGAGTGTGCCTGTGGGCGGGCATTTCAAATTTGTACATTTCGGTTCCGCTCACTGTTTGCACCTATCAGTAACATGGGACTTGCCTGATTTTCTTGTGCTAATTTGGGTTTTTTAGTTTCTCGGCTTTCACTGTACAACAAATAGATGAACTCTAACAGCTCGGCGAAAAACGCGGCGGTAACCCCGACGGTCAAGGAACATAAACCACCAACACGACTGACGAGGACATAGGAGCTAAGAACCAACTTTTCATTCTTCTCATTCAAACTGGTTGATTTTCTTTTCACCACCACATAGGCAAAATCTTCACTATCCAAATTCAAATTTTCCGGAGGCCACTTTGGCAAGTTGGCAAAGTAGCTTCCGGTACCTTGAGCCAGATTCATAAGTTCCTGATGACGTGGGATGTGAGTTAGATTGTCATATTTCAAATATAATTCCCATTGTTTGAATGCCGGATGTTCGGTCAGGTTGGCGTTTGGATGCTCCTGATAGTATGAATACAAGTTTTGTGATGCTTGATTTTGTACCCGAAGCCAATACAATTGCCAGGGATAACCTCGCCATTTTGTGATCGACGTTGTGCTTGGGTACTCGTAGTACGTACAACGCGGTAGGCATGCAGTACCATCATATTTTTGCTTCACGGCCTTTTGCATCTTCTCGGACAAGCAAGCCAACCGTTCCATAAACGCCGTCATATTTTCGTTGGCACGCAAGCGACCGCAATAAGGCATTTGTTCGGTAGGAGCTACTGGTCTTGGGTTCAAAACCAGCATACAGCCACATTCCGACATAATTTCCCTCTGTTGATGCACCAGCAGACAACTGGAATGTGTGTAGTTGTACCACTCATCCAAATCGCGATATCTGTGTGACTCGTTTGCCACTAAACACGGTCGTTTTGGTGTATTTAGTCGATTCCACAAGTACGGCTCGAAAGAGATTTCATTTAATTTACCTGGTTCCACGTGCAATCCATCCTTTTCCATGTCAGGCATAGTCCCCGGCTCATGAACCACAATGCGCAATCCACGAGCTTGTTCAAACACGTCGGTAAAGAAAGCCGGATGAGCTGGTACGTCTCGGTCCCGAGGACTCATGCCCACTACTAGACTGAAGATAGATATATCTTGCGCTTCTGACAATTCCTTTGGTTCGAAGGTGTAACAATTCATGAATAAATGATGAGAAAAACGGCGCAAATGATATCCTTGTAGTAAGGTACAATTATCCTCAAAAGAGATACTCTGTGCTGTGAAACGTACACAGCTGAGAAAAATAGCCGGTGAATGACCGAGGTGTATGGTTTCATTGACTGCTAAGTTCTGATAGTAGACACTCAGTGTATCATAGCCCCAAATGCCAACAGCCAGATCTAACTCATTCCTGTATAACGCATCAAGGACCAGTTTGCGCATGTATTGATTGAATTGGGATGGAGATAAAACCTTAGATTTGTTCCATAATTCGTAAGCCTCAAATGAAAACGGCGGTTGATGACAAACGGTCAACGCTGGAAATGGAGCTGGGGTGTCCAACTTTACCTGGATATGTACACTGACATCGTAGTTCAAGTAATCCTTGATCAGAGATGCCGTAGATGAAATGAGCAAACAAGTCATACTGAGCACAAACATTAGCCACATGATACGCAATACTTTCGGTCCGGTGTACAGCTTCGACATACCTCGCACGGAGGTACATTTACAAAAGAGACGAAACGCACGATTTGGATGACAACAAAGAGAACGTTCCGGTTTGACTCCCGTTCCCGTTTTGATTCCGTTCTGGCCATATGTTGTTGGTGTTGCAGCCATATCCATTGTTGGATGTTTCCAGAGAGAATTTGTTTCTAGGATGAACCAGGAAAACTATCGGCTAATAAAAACAAAAATACATTCGATGGGATGATTTCATTTCGGAGAAAAATGTTTGTTTGAATAAACACATTTGCACGGGAGTGATCATACGTTTAAAAGGTTTCGGTCGTAAATTAACGTCAAAAGACTACTGAACCGTTAATAAATTACTGGTCTATGTGTTTCAACCAACCAAAAACCGAGTGAAATTTCTACCAATCAAGATTCATTCTTTGGTAGTCTAACGTATATTGCACAGTTAGGGATTGCACGGGTTGATCAATTTTGGCATCGGTGCCTCAAAATAACATGCGAGCGCAAAATGAAGACCAGTCCGACAATTTAAATTACGCTGAATTCAACGAATGGTATGGGTAAGAAAGCTGCATTTGCAACCTTCAAGCCAAAATTACGTGCCATGAATAAATTCAAATTTCTTTATATCTCTCAAGTGAATCTAACTGATATTTAAGTGATAAGTGATATATGACAAGTTCATTTTACATCATATTCTCCTAATTCCTTCTTTGCTTTACAGCGGAAGTAATTAGTTGTAGTACAATTTTCCAACCGCGCCGCAGTTTGTAGTTGCTCCATCTAACATTTTAGCAATTAGGATGTCCCTCCAGTCCACGATAGAATGTGGTTTTAAATGGTTGCACCGTTTCGTATAATTCACAAAACTGATTGATAGTGCTGTTTGTGAGGAGTCTATGATTGTAAAAATACTGGGATAGCAGAGTTTGAGGTTACCATTTAAAATACATCAGACAGGTCGTACATGCCTTATTTTGGATTATACTGAGGCTACTGAAATATTGAACATCCGAACTCAAACCAGTTGTGTTCCAGAAAATTTTAAACAATATAAAAGTAGTAACAGAAAACGAGCGGAATTGATATTGGCCATCAATTGTGCGTGCTCTCGATTATCTGTCTGCGCACATTAAATAGGTGGATTGGTAATAAGAAATATTATGTATGAACATCTACATAACTACATGGGTTCAGGAAGAACAAACTTGGTTGGTGGGTCATTAACAAAGTCATTTGGGTATGGGTGAACTAGGAGGAGGGAACAATGGTTACAAGGATTCAAAATAAACGAATGTTAACGTAGAAACAGTTATGTATTTGAACACGAATAACGGTAGAGAGGAGAGTTAAAAATGGATACGTAATATGAAATAGGTACAATCAGAAATGAGTTCAAACGGACCTTGAAAGGTGACGGGGTAGAAAAGTGGTCAATTAAGTAGATCAAAAAGAGTTACGTAATAAGAAAATGAGAAGGGTGAAGTCTCAATAACGAGGCAAGGGAACGGCTGAGATGAGGGGGAGGAAAAAAGAAAACAATGGTAGTAAAAATTGCATCAAAATACCTAGGCTTGAAACGGGTAATCACAACCGCCTCGGCAAAGCTAAGCATCTTCGGGCTTTGAATTCTGAGAATAACGCGGAAGACTGCGTTTGTCAATGCACTGTCAGATATACAGCCAATGTCGTGCCACTGCACTTGCTGGAAGTTTTCCTCCTGGAAGTAATAAGTTGTTCGGAACATGTTCACTCATTCTAGTCGACAGCCGGCGTTCAGACCTTCTCGCGGACCGCGAACTGCAAGTATATTGAAAAAAGATAAATACAATCGGTGACTGAATTTGTGGATCTGCCTATTCTTGACCGAATTAGCGAGTTCATTGTGCTGTGAAACATGGTCCGCTTCGCGGCAGGATAGATAGACTCAAGTGTAGTACAAAGCCGACGACCACCCCATGTAATTAAATCGTTCCCTTCAAGTAGTGCACCCATGAAAACTGGTTACTTTTCGACCGCATTTTACGCTCGCCTGGGAATAGAAGGTAGGGAAGGCAGGGTTTAACCGTTAGTGGGCAAGACATTCGTCAAATCTTCGACAGATCACTTCCCAACACTTCCGGACTACACAAGCAAAGAATTCTGTAGAACAGGTTTTCATCAATCCAACCTTGTAAGGTAGAAAATCAAGGCTTTGAAAGTGTAAATACCGGCCCGTCCATGTACAATTGTGACGAATTGGCGTTAGGACTCTACCGTTCCTCACTTTTATCAGTTGTAGGTGTAGGAGTGATCAAGAGGAAATATTCTCATATTCCAAAGTGAACTTGATATGTTTGGGCATCCCATTAAATTTGTTGAACAAAGCCATGGCATCTGTTTTCTTTGAGGTTATTACTGGTGTGTTATCGACATAACAATGATAAAACATTAAGGATTTAAGATCACTTTCAATGTTGGTATCAAGTTCCGACATAAATATATCAGCTAAGTTTCATCCAAGTGGACTTCTCAAAGCCACTACATCTATATGACGGTACATTGCGCCATTGAAGACAAACTGTAAAATACAGACACACAATTCCAATAGGGTTCTCAATTCAGTTGCTTTGAATTCACTTTCACAAGCATATTTACAAACTTCCATTACGACTTCCTCCACTGGTACATTAGTGAACAGCGAAGTAACATCATAACAAGCAAGGAAAAATTGGCGGCAATCAAAATCAGGTAATGTATCCTTCAGCTAGAATGACGTTTTCAGCCCGAAATAGAAAACTTTCATGCTGATGGAACTGATCTGTTTAGCTACGCACTGAGCAAATTTCTACTGAGTTGAGTTGATCATTGATAGGATCGGGTGCAAAGGAAATCCTAGTTAATGAAGTTTTGGTAAACCATAAATATGTGGTATTTGTATTTCACAAGGTCTCAGATCATTTAACGTACTGACAGTATTCACTCCGCTTTTCCAAATCTGTTTTAACTGGGCACCGATCCTTTTCTTTGTTACCTCCGTATTGTCCTTCCTTTTTGGATCTACCTGGAATCGGTCACCATCACTGAGAATGTTCTCCATTTTGCTCACTTATTCATCGTTGTTAATAATGGCTATTCCGGATCCGTTATCCGGTGGACAGACCACAACAGTCTCATAATTTATCAACTCTACTCATTAACCCTCAATTCATAAAATTATAATTTGAATAAAATAACAAAATAAAATGTTTGCGTAACAACTTGAAGTAAAATGAGCTTATCATGGTAAATAGGGTTTTATTATGGCAGTTATCTTTCATATGATTAAAATATGCTGATTACTAAATGCGCGTCATGAATGTCACATTTGTTCGAAACCCCTGATAGATAAAGATGGTCATTTTATGCGACCTTACGGTTTCAGACTAAATAATGAGGTTATTGAATTATGAGAGAAACAGATGGAATAAACCTCTACTTTAAGGACGTGCCATAACCTATCGCGAATCACATTCTTATTCTGCCACTATTGGTGATAGAATCATGGGCACGCTGCGGAGTGGTGTGGAAACAGTAGTCCTTTGGCAGCCGGTGCCCAGTTGAACGGATTATAGGCCTCTGTATAGGGTCAAAAATCCAACTTTACAAAAATAGAAAGCTGGTGAGCACTACCACAGCCGTAAAGGTGTCAGGTGGGTTTAAGTTACATGTCTTCTGGGTTGCTTTTTTGTGGGAGGGGCAATGATTCACCTGACTCCCCTTAAGGAACTGGCAAAGATTATGCAAACGGTTTTACCTCAGAGTTCCGAGGTTTCTTTGTCTCACTTTGGTAACAAAACAACAACTCCACCGGTAGGCAGTGTGTATGGATTCCCAGACAGTGGCCGGTTGACATGCGTATGGAGTCACTTGGTGAAGTTCAAGTGGCCTTCGGAAGCTTATATACACATCTTGCTCAAATCTAGGCGGAGACGACAAATATGCACCGTTTAAAGTATTTTGTTTCCTCAGGCAATGTGTCAGAACAAGCGCACATATAAAAAACAAATCCTCGTATTACTATATATTTCCCAGGATTAGCGCATCAGTTTCGTGTAAACATTCCCTAGATTAGGAGTAAACTAATAAACAGCAAGCGTTTGGTCGCCTGTTTTGTTCTAATTTTATCTAATTTTATCTACCCGAATCTCATTCTTTTTCAAATTGTCCACTTCAATCGAAACGCAGTTTCCGAAATCAATCCTTTACAACAACTATCTCTCGCCGTAGGATGTAGCGTATTAGATCCTGGTCTAATTCAAAAGTGACTAAGTGTTATCGACTGAGACCCACGAAAATCCTAAGGTAAATGTATTGAAACCTGTTTCCAGCTTGTGCTGAAAGACTATATCAATGGGACAGTATGACAACATAGAAACAGCATGGTCTGCACTATCAACAATGAATAATCACATCTTGACCCTTTCACCAAGGAATTAAAGAAACTCATAGGTTTCTACCGATTACAAACCAAAACTGAACATCTCTCATTGCCACGTATAAAGCACATTGAAATGAACGAGTCACTCCATTCCTGTGAAACTGTAGCAAGTTAACATTCCGGATCGTTTAAGTGCAAAAGCTCGCTGAAAAATAAGAAAGGTTAAACACATTTTCAGTCTCGCGGAAAAGAACTGGTGAATAGTTTGTAAGATTGTAAGATTAAAACAATTAAACCTGATAACATTAACTCATATAGCTTCTTTGATTAAAGCATTCTTTGATTATTCACCGCTACATGTTTATCTACTAACACGGAAACAACTAGTTATTCCGTGCAGATTATTATGAAATGCGAATATACACTTTACAACTATTTAGTCAGCAATTTACTTTTAAAAATAACTGAATTATGTTTGTATACACCTATAAAAACTGCTTAGTCAACTGTGTTTGCAAGGTATACTTTGACCTTTTGTGTTATGTCGGCGTTCGATACCTCGAAGGGTTAATGCGTATGCAACCGGTGTGAGACAACTGTGTAATATGTACCGAGATCCACCGAACATTAGTACTTTTTATCTTTAATCAGCATCGATCAACGGTTTCCTATAGTGTATTTTGTTGAAGAGACTATGCGGTCAGAATTGAACAGTATATCAAATGTTAGTGTCACAATTTGTTGGCCGAAT